ATTCTAATTTATTGAGATGCACCTGTATAAGCAGCTACAATCCTGAATCCTGAACCTCAGGTTCAAGTTTCTAAAAATTCATTGACAAATTCCAACCACATTCTCTCCTAATTAAAGTTGCAAGCTTGAACATCATTAAAACACAAAGACCCTTCAACTGAAGAGCTCGGCTGTGTCTGAGCACGCAGCGAAGTGCATCATGGCCTAAATACGGAAGATAACAACATAATAGACATGGTACGAATGATTCACTGTCTGTTTGATGCAAAAGTTGAGTGAGATGCTGCAAGACACTGCGCTGAAGATAATAAGGAAATGACGCAGTCTGGAGGAAAAAAGGGTTCATGCTAAAAAGGTGGCGTGTTGCGTAGTTGAACACTCATCCAAAAGTGTTTCTTTATCAGCATGTGCAAATTTAATAAAGCTTATCTCTAAGAGGGCAACACGATGACTTCAACAAAGACATCATTAACTGACATGCTGGTGCTGTGCAAAAACAAGCCTGCCTGTGGCAGTCTAAGAAAATCAATGAATTGATAATGAATGAACAAACTGCTGCGTCTGCTACAGTGGGACACATGGATCAATGCTGCCCCCTCCTGATCAAATGATGTTCCCTCCTGATACCTTACCTGAAAAATAAATTGTCACAGGAAGAGTCCCATTCCTGATCCTCAAACATGATTACACTGAAATCGCAAGATATACATCTTAAACGGTTGCAGGCCCTTCAAAAACAAGACAATTCTTGTTACAGACCACAGTCAGAATACATTTGCACATGTCTAAGAAAATCTATCATACAATCTGAATGGGAAAAATATGTATTGTGATAGTGGTTGTTAATATTGAGCTCATTAGAAAATTATTTAAAGGGGTCATATGATGCAATTTAAATTTTTCCTTTCTCTTTGGAGTGTTACAAGCTCTTGGTGCATAAAGAAGATCTGTAAAGTTGCAAAGACTAAAGTCTCAAATCCAAAGAGAGATTCTTTATAAAAGTTAAGAGTCAACCACGCCTACCTAAAACGGCTCATTCTAACACGTCCCCACATGTCTACGTCACGATGTGGGAAGATTTGCATAACACCGCCTAAATGTTCACGCAAAGAAAGAAGGCGTAACTTTAATTCTTGCTGTTGCCGCTGCTGCCATGTTGTGGAGTCGCTGTTTGTGAAAGCGAAACTACCAAAAGAGGACACAACTAGAAATCAGTGGTTAAGTTGTATTTACAACACTGTTCCAGAACACTTCAACCCAAATATTCAGAT